GACACAACTTATAGTAAATAAACTTCAAACTCGGGAAATTTCCTATCAAAATACACGTGCATAGAATATTTCCTAAGGGAAATTTTTAAAAATTTCGTTTTTAGACAATTTTTTTAATCAAAACCATTCGTGCATAGCGCCAAAGAAAAAATCCCTCACCCTTCGGGTTCGGGATTTTTTCAGGCGCTATGCACTCATGATTTTGTTAAAAAATTGGCCTCAGACAAAATTTTCAAAAATTTCCTTAAATATTTTAGTTATATTACTACTGGAAATTTCCCAAGTTTGAAGTTTATTTACTACGTTGTGTCAAATTTTTTCTTTGATGGTGAATGTTATTGAGATCTCTTCCATATAAGTTGTGTTTGTCAAAAAATATACACTTTGACAGATTTCTGACATCAATGCGTTTTAAATGGAAAAGCGGTCCTCAATGCCAAAAATGACAATTCTAGAAATTGTCTCCGGGATATTTCCAAAAATTTCCACTTATTAATTTTGAAAACTTGTATGCAAAATTTCCAGTGTAATTTGCACAAGGGAAATTTCCGTAAATATTCATGTTGCTTAAACTTCCAGCAAATTCACACGGGAACTTTTTATGCATGCGCGGTGTTATACAGGGTGTTAATAAATACTATGGTTTTTAGGGAATCCTGATCTACTTCGCTTAAGCCCCCACTCTTTGGGAACAAAAGTGATTTGCTCCGATCATTTCGAAAAAGATTGTTACCTGACAGAACAATCCAAGTTATTAAGGTTAGCTATTGACAAGACCTCTTGATACAAAGATATTTAATTCATATATATATTTTCAGACCCGATGCTTTACCAAATCGTTTTGGTTGTCATAAAAGCCCTAACGATGACTTAAAGGTTTTGACGCCTAAGAGAACCTATGCGGTAAAAAGGAAAATCAGTCTAGATTTAGAAGATCTTCCAAAAAGACGAAAGTTGTTTCACGAAGAGTTAGACGTTGTTTCCCCTTCCAAATGCTCTATAACAGCTTCTCCAATACAGCAATGGTCAGTGGAGCATCTGTCAAATTTAGACACTCCCAAAAAATTAGAGAGAAAATCTATATACCGGGTGTCTGATAAGGATAGTGCCGCCTTAAAAAAACTAAAAGAAAAGGTAGCTGCATTGAAGCAAGAAGTGACGTCGTTGAAATCGCGAAATCGCAAAATTAAAAAATATCACCAAGGGCGAAAAGGTCATAATCTCCTTAATAGTGTATTGTCATCTTTTCAATTCTCATCCCGACAACAAAAAACCATTACATACATGCAGTTTAAGAAAAAAAAAGGAAAATGGAGTATAGCTGAAAAACAATTTGCCTTAGGTTTATATTATAGAGCTCCCCATGCTTACCGACATCTATTGCAACAGCGAATTAAATTGCCCTCAGTTGCCACTATAAAATCTTGGATCCAAGGCAATAAATTTCTACCAGGCTTTAACAAAAGTTACCTAAATCAATTGAAATTGAGAGTGAGCTATATGGAAGATCACGAAAAACATTGTGTTTTGGCGTTTGATGAGATGGCAATAAAAAAATGGCTGGTCTACAATAAGGCATTAGACTGTATTGAGGGTTTTGAAGATTTGGGAGTATTTGGCAGGTCCAATAAAATAGGTAAAGAGTCTTTGGTACTCATGGCTAGAGGCTTATACAGTCGTTGGAAGTTGCCATTGGCATATTTTATTTCAAGCAGCCAAACAAAGGGACAAAATCTTCAAGGAATTATTTTGAAAACAGTAGAAGCTGTGGAAGATTGTGGCTTGATTGTAAAAGCCATAGTATGTGACCAAGGCACAAATAATCAATCTTGCATAAAACTACTTGGGGTCACCAAAGATAAACCCTATTTTATGTTTAGGAATAAACCTATATTCGCCATTTTTGATGTCCCTCATCTAATAAAAAATATAAGGAATAATTTAATTAACGGCAATTATGTTTTAAATAATAGCAAAATATGTTTGAAAGATGTGGAGGAACTGCTAAAAATAGATTCAGAAAACTGTGCCCAGTCTGTTATAAAACTAACAACTGCACATTTGAATCCAAATCCTTTCCAGAAACTCTCTGTGAAACTAGCAGCTCAATTATTTAGCGGAAGAGTTGCAGCTGCATTGAAAACAGCTATTTCAACTGGAGATATAAAATCAGGAACGGCTTCTGCGACTGCTGATTTCATCGAGCTAATCAATAATTTATTTGATTGTTTGAATAGCGACATGAAATTTAACAAAAATCCCTATAAATCAGCTTTATCAGGGGATAGCCCACAAATTGAGGAGACTCTTCTAAAAGCAAGAGGAATATTCCAAGCTTTAAGGAAGGAAAATGTTTCGACTGGAAAGAACACTCGACCTCCTTGTTTCGATGGATTCATTCAAACAATTAATGCTATTTTATTGGTAAGTATTTTTATTGCTGTACCTATTCATTTATAATCAAATTTCATACCATAAATTATATTTTCAATATAAATATAACGAGTACAACGGAAATTATCCATAATTTTTGGGAAGTTTGTCCGAACGCTTTTTTAGTTGAAAAAGAGAACGAGCGCACGTACTCCACGGGTGCCTTTTTCAGTAAAAAACGCATGATTTAAAAATTGTCGAAAATTATAGATATACATATTTCCATTGCACGAGCTGTATTTTGTGAGAGAACTTCATACATCTGTCAAAACTGGTATTCCAGCAATAAACTGACATGTTTTGATTGTTGATTCGAACCAATCATATTAGAATTTACGCTATAATTTGCACCAAATTATCAGATAATTGCATAGTAACTGGTGCGAGAACTGGTGTTTTGACATTTTTTGACAAACGATTTAAATTTTTGATTTATGAAATTCTCTCATTAAATACAACTCGTGCAATGGAAATATATTTATAATTTTTGTTAGCTCAAGAAAGAAGAGAATAATTGATTAATGTTTTTAAAAGAGAAGATCTGACAGAAAAAAAGATTGAATATAGAGTAATTTTCGAAAAATTTGCACTCATGCATGCGTTTTGCATTCGGGCAAATTTTCCAAAAATTATCAATAATTTACATTGCACTTGTTTAATTACTATTGAGAATTTAATGAATCAAAAGTTTAAATTATTTTCAAAAAATTTCAAAATAGCAGTTACTGTGCAAATTATCGCGTAATTCCAATTTTATTGGTTCAAATCAACAATGAAAACATGTCAGTTTATTGTTGGAATGTCAGTTTTGACAAATATATGAAATTCTCACAATAATAATTATTATAGGTACCTACGTATTTAAGGTTTGTTTCACGAGGGTTTGTACTTTTGACATCATTTGCCTTCCATTTTGAACAAATAAAATTTAACTCAAACAAAGTGAATTGTTTCAGTCAAATTCTATTTATTAAAAAAGGAAGGCAAATATGTTAAAAGTACAAACCCTCCTGAAACAAAGAGAACGTGATGTTGAAATTGGTATAAATGTCATTATCATTTAAGTTGGTTGTCAAGAAACGGTAAAAATGTGTATACAATGGCATTGTTGATCGTATAAAAATTCAATTTTTCAAGCAAATCGTAAGGTGTAATGAAATAAAACAGAAAACATAACCAAATTAATTTGGCGCACCCCTATTGTTCAATGCTCATTTTATAAAAATAAACTACAATATTGCAAATTGCAAAAATTTATAGTTCTGATTTTTTTTCCAGCTACACAAACAGGAAAAAATGGAAAATCGGTGCTACCTTATGACGTCACGGCTAAACCAAGATGTACTTGAAAATTTATTTTCAGTCGCTAGGCAACATGGGGGATATTGCCGTAATCCATCAGCCCAACGATTCCGGGTCACATTTCGGCAAATAACAATAAATAGTTTATTGCGCTCTGCCGAGTCATCTAATTGTGAAGAGGATGACGATTTCTTTTTAATCGTAAACGATCCATTATTGAAAAAAAACAAACAAATAGAAAAATCGGGAAATGTTAACCCCACTGAAAATGTTACAATAGACACGAATGAAAATGAGCAAGATCCAGAAAGTGATGAAGAAATTGATGTTTTTTTCCCTACACAAACAGATTTAGAGACTTGCTCCGAAACCATGTTTGCAGGATATTGCGCCAGCAAGCTGTATAAAAAAACAAAGTGTATACAGTGTAAGGATTCACTTATTTCGAACAAAAAATTGGAAATGGGGAATCAAGATTCGCTAATTTTCTTCAGGCAATTTGAAAAGCAAACTGAATCTGTTGGTCTCTGCATTCCGACGGAAGTGGGCAAAGTTCTCTGCCACACAGCTTTAATAATTTTTAAAAATCATTTCAAAAACAATTATTTCAAAAAGGGAATTAAATTGTTTTTAATTAAAAAAGTGACACTCTTATTATACAATGGTACAATATTTTTCCGTTTTTTTTTTTTGGTTTATATATCGGTAGGTACCTATGTTTTTTTTTTGCCGAATTATTTATTTAAGTTTGTGAATGCATAGTATTTTTCTCTGCAATAAAAAAAAATGGCCTGCTGGTGCCTGTTTTCCCTGGGGCCAGAATGCCATTCCATATGATATTTTATTAACCTCGTCCAGAAAAATTAAAAAACAAAATTGGCAACCCTTTAGTTCTGTTTACAGTGGCTTTGCAAACCATTTGAATTGGATACATAAAATTAACAAACTTTCAATTGAACATCAAAGTTTTTCAGTTGAATGGAGTTATTCACATTGGGACATGGAAAATAAATTGTTCAATTTAAAATGCAAGTTTTATTTCAACATTGGAGCCTCAAATGACAAACACAACTACAACTATAATAAATTATTGGAATCACACATATACAACACATATTTAAATGAAAATCACTGAAAAGATGGCACAACAGTAGCTAGAATAATATTGTGAAATACTTTTTGCGCTCTTTGGTGTATTTTTTTTACAATTTACTCAAATGACGAATCAAATAGTGTCTCACACAAGGTCTACATTCTACCTCTTACTATTTATTCTTTTTGTCTTTATTACCAATTTGATTGCTGTCTTTGACTTCACTTTTTGTTTTTTCATACAAATTATTCAAACCAAATGCCAATTTAATATTCTCTTCTGAGAATAGGAATTTAATTAACTTTCCTTTGGTATCAGCCATAGGTCTTCTCATTGCTTCTTTTCCTGAAATTGAATATTTTTATATATTTTTTTTTATTTCAAATTATCACAAATTTGTTAACCTTCTTGGAACAATATAATTGTTGGTAACTGTTTGCTCAAACTACTGTCGCTCACATGATATTTTTGGCCTGCTTCGGGGTACCTTCCAATATCAATTTTTCCAAATTTTAAATTTTCTAGACCATAATCAATGCTCAGTTTGGAAAAAACTGGTGCAAAATTAACACAAGCTGGATTCCAAACTGTGTAGAATGCGATTAACCAAGTGGCCTTATCTGACGCAATTTGTTCTGTTAATCCTTGTTCACCTCGGAAGTAAATCACATTACTAGGCCCTGCATAGGTAGGTTCTGGTACCAATAAAGCACCCACTAAAAATACAAGTTTCAATTATACAGAAATACTTGAATGCTTTTGGTTTTATAAATATGGAGCAGTATTCTTGAGGACAGAGCTTTGAGCCACAGTTTGAGCACTGTTTAGGGAATTATTGTTATTGTTAGTTAATTACAAAGACAAAGTTATGGACAATTAAGGATATTCTAGAAAAAGTATACTCACAAATAAACAAAACTCCATAAAGAATTCCCATTAAATAATCAGCGTTAAACCATAAAATTAAATTAGCAATTTTTGTGTAAATGAAACTAGAGGACAAATAGCTTATCATATTAACACTTCCTGCTTTTCTGGTCCTCATTACTACCACTATAAGGAGGAAGAATAATATTTCCGTTTCTTTCTGAAACCAGTTAATAAAGTTAATGTTAATTAATAATAATTGAGAAGATTGAATCTTACCCCATCAAATTCGCAGTTGTCTGTATTGAATATATAGTTACAAACCCCAGGAATCCTTTTCAACACCATAAAGGATAAACTAAGGATTATATTTACCAGATAATATGGCTTTAAAAGCTGCAAAAGGTCTTGTTTAATAGACATTTTTATTTAAACTAATAAATAGTGTATAACTAATGTTTTTAAAATTTGAACAAATTACCAGCTGACATTTGACAGTTTTAATTTGACTAGTTAAACATGGTTGCCAACTGTCTGTTTAGTGTTTGTGTTTCACAACCAAGATTAAGCCCGGTATTCATAAGGTGAGTTCGGCTTGACAACTCTTTTGACTCCTTTGACACTTTTCACAACAAAATCGTTCGGGTTCTGCCACTGGGAGCAAATAGTGCAAGCTCTTCATCGTTCGGGTAGAGCCAAGTAGAGTGAAAAGAATTAACTCCACAAACAAGCACCACCTCGCGAGATGAAGCTCGAGGAGCGGGCATGCGCACTTCCTATATTCCAAAAGGCAATAAAATTTAACCTTCCTAACGATCCTAACCTAAAGAATTCGAAGAAGTTATTTTATGCTTAGAGCTTGGTTGCCTCCTGCTAGAAAAAATTGCATTGCTCTCCAAAATATCCGCAAAAACACATGTTCCGGTTTGGGATGGGGATTATCCAGAGATATGTGAGGGAAATAGAATGCGCTTAGACGACTGCGCATCCGATTTATTTGTAACGCATAGGGGGCCGCCATTATTATCACTTTTCACTAGTTTTTACTTATGCCGTTTTCGATTGGTAGATCAAGTACAGTTTTTTTAAATATCTATCTTCTTCTTCTAGAGGTTGATGAAAAAGGATGAAAATACACTCAATGCGCATTAAATTTTCCAATCGAAAACGCTATAGTTCTTTTCACGTGGCTCCGGTTTAGAGGTGGGAAACTCTCCATAGTAATTATCGATATATCGATATTTTGATACACTATCGATAGTTTTACTTGGAAAATCGATAGCAGTTCTCCTGTCTTTTCTCATTACAGCAATGTCAAGTGTCAGAAATATCATTCATCTTTTATTAGGCTCCTAAAGTTAAGACGTCTTTTTCTGACGGAATGTTTTGAAATGTTATGAAACGTTTTTAAACGCTACATTTTTGTGTTGCAACGGTGACGTCATATACGGAAACGGTTCAACCAGTTTCGAACCGCTCTTTCAGCCTGTTTCAAAATAGACGTTGAGCAGCTGACCTCAAAATACCACAAAACAATAATTTTAGAGATGTCACGGGCTCTGTTTTAAAACGGGGCATTTTTGATCACCACTGATCCGATATGATGACGTAGCAATCGAACCAGTTTTGAAACGTTTTGAAACACGGAACACGGTTCAACAAAAAAAGACGTCTTTAATAGGTTGTCTGGTAATGGGTAACTTGATGACGTCATCTGGTCTGGGGTGCCTTATGGAGATTTGCACACTACAGTTGGACTTCATTAAGATTAACATTTTGCCTTGCCCTGACCTCCTGTTTGCGTCAGCGGTCGTAGTTTAGAATTTAAATTTATGATGAGAAATATTATTTAATTTTGACTAACATAATAGGCAAATAGGAAGATGCAAACGAGATATAAAAAATTGTTGTTTTTAAACCTCCCTCAAAATGTTCGGTGCGAACAGCCATAAAATAACCCTTTTTTAGATCTCGTTTACAATAGTTTGCATCGTCCTCTTTGCCTATTATGTTCATCAAAATTAAATAATATATTTTTATATTTATATTTTAAACTGCGACCGCTGGCGCAAACAGCTGACGACACCGTTGATGGCGTCAGCAACGGTGCAACACTATATGACCTGGATTCCAATAATCGAGGCCGATGAGCAATCATGTAGTATTTGTTGTGTGTAGTGAAAATATTCTTGGAAAAATATATCGTGACATTCGTGACGGATTTTCGTATCGCTAGCTCGTGTGTCACGACCTTGAAATTTCACTCCTAGCGCGCGTTCAGAAGTTTCACTTCAAAAACAGATAACGAAAATGAACCTGAAACTTATATAGGATTTTAACGCTATATTTAGGATGACGTCACATTTAGTAAGTTTCTGCTGCCAACCTAACAATACTAAAAGTACTTTTTAACTCATTTATAGTAGGGGAATTTCAGATGTTTTTGGTTCGCAACGGCGCGCAACGTTGCATGACTTGTATAAACATTTTCATTTTGTTATTTTTAGCTGTCGTCAGAGTTATTGACACATGACTTTCTGGTAAATTATAAGAAAAAAAATGGCATTGACAACATTGTCTATCTTTGTTCGATGACGTCATCCTAAATATAACATAAAAGCCTATAGTTCGATGTTCAGACACGGGTAAATTCAGGCGCCGGTCTCAGCAACTGATACTGCTCTTGCTCTAGTAAGCTCAGCTAAACTTGTAGCGCTGCGTAAAAGCTTTTGCTTTCACTTCAGCGCCGGAGTTTTTTGCACAGCTTAAAAAATTGTCGATTTTGAAGAAAAGGATTGCGATATTTGAATCTGAAGTTAGTATCACGCTACACGCTACTAAAAATCGGAGGATATTACACACTCATACTACTATTATAGTCACAGGATTGCTTATTGGCCACGATTTTTGAAGTCAAGGTCATACGTTATGGCACCGTTGACGACGTCACCAACGGTGTCGTCAACTGTTTGCGCCAGCGCAGCGGTCGTAATGAATCATAGCTCAATAGCCTGTGGTGCAAACAGCCTACGTCAAAGAGTTGTGTTTGAATTCCTTCTGCCTTGCGATCCTTTCTTTATCTTCCGTGAGGCGGATTTGTAATTTGCCAGAACATTCGAATTCGTTGTTGTAAATGGCTTTGCTGCTAGGGCGAATGCTGACTATATTTAGTGACATAAAAAAAGCAAATCTCCCTAGATAAGCAAACATAATCTAAGGCGACGTGACGTTCCGTTAGTTAACCAAGATTCTGGATTTTTTCCGGTTCCCGTTCCGTAACCTAACTACTAAACTACTCCTGAAATCTGGTTTAGGTTATAAAACGCGGTTCCTAAAATTCGGCCACGTCTGTCACTCTGTCAACCGAATCTACCGATCAAAAAGGCTTAGCCCTTTTCACGTGGCTCCGGTTCAACAAACCGCAACATACAGCTCAAATTCGAGTGGTATCGACGACGTCACTTTGTAACTGGGTTAGGAAACGGCATGTCATTTCTCTAACCACCTTGGCGATCAGTGGCGTAACTATAAGGTCCCGTTTGTTGCGGGGGGACCTCGTCGTGATTTTGGGGGTCCTGCGGGGCCCCAGAACAGGCAAAAGTGTTAAATTGGTCACAAGAGTAGTACTAAACCAGTGGCGTAACTACAGGGGGACCTGGGGGGGCCGGGCCCCCCCTAGACGTTGCTAGGCCCCCCCCCAGAAAAAACTTTAATAATTTGGTATTTTATGAAGGTTACGTTACCTATTATAATTTTATGTTATTACGTTATTGCCTACTAAATTTGAGCGGTAATGCGCGGCGATCCCGATCGACCCCATTCGATTCTCCGATCCACCAACTAACGGGCTGTGTGCAATTGTGCCACCCAAAGGTCAGTGCAAATTGCAATGGCAGAAGTGATATAGTATACCAAAGCTATTAAATTAGCATGAGCAATATAACAGATTAATTTGGGAGTTTGACAAAATATTTTTCTTGTGAATCCGTGAATCGGTGTTTCTGATATATACTTTACAGTGGCTGATAAGCTGGGTTAGCTAGGTAAGTGATTTAAGCCCGGTTTAGTCAGCTTATAGCCTATAATTGCACTGTTCTACTTTTTTAAAGATTCCAATAAGTCGCAATAACAGGCCCTAGACCACTGGCCCCAACTACAAGGGGGCATTGGGGCAGGTGCTTCCATGAGCAACCTCTCATGGGTGCTCGGAGCTCTCGTAGAGAATACGAAAGTACAAACGTATTTAATGGTCATTCCGTTTCGTGTGGTAATATCAGTATCATGTACACTTGGCCAAACATAAAACTGGTACAGGCAATATATTTTTTCCAAATTTGCCTAGTGTGAGTCAGGCTTAACTACAAAAAGTCTGTTCTGAAAAACTTAGGTCAGACAGTTTTTGTCAATGTCAAAGATGAACAAAGGTAAAATCCAAGAATCGTAAACTCTACAGGATTGCTCAATCGGCTAAATTTGTTCACAATTGCTGTGACGTCACGCGCATGCCGGATTTTCAAGATGGCTGCTGATACGAATGATGTTTAGTTTGTGCTGACAACTATTTTATCGTAAATTCGGATTTATCTAGTGTTATAAGTGTAAATTTAAAGTTTCATTTAATGTGTGTAAGCATATAAGACTCGTGGCTGAAAATACTCGCGAAAACCCCAAGCATTTTCTGGTTTTATAATACTGGATTTGTTGTATCAGGACATCGCTCTTTTATTTGTGTGTATTGCTAGTTAGTATTTCCTAGTCAAGCATTTGTTTTGCTTTTTTTTTATAAATCAAATATCTACTTAGTTGTAAGTTTCCTTTGCATGTAATTACTAATAAAAATTAGGGTTTGTGAAGAGTGAATAAATAAATATGTAAAATGTAAATAAATTCCTTTACTGGCGCGTTTACTATGAAAACGCATGGAAAATATGGGAAACTTGCAATGTTTTTCTGGAATATGATTATGAGAATCTAAATTAGGTATCACTATTTGGCTTTGTGAAATAAGCTCACTTTGAATGTCTATATTAAATCGTTCTAGTACCTATTAAATTAATGAATAATAATTGAGAAGTACCTAGGTAGGGTCAGTAAAAAATAAAGCACACTATTGCAACCCCGTTTCGCTTATATTTTGATATTGAAATGCAAAAATTAAACCGGCTCGGCACTCCACATTTGGTTTTCTACTGTTTCTCAACTGTAGTCAATTGTGCCCGTTTTGTGCTCAATTGTGCCAGTATTTATGCGAATTGTGCTCATTTTCATACACAAAAAAAACATTGAAACGAATCCGGGGGCCAGCTTGACTCCAGCCCTTCGTTTTTTTGACTTTTTGGCAATATGTTTGGCTAATTGATAAACAAAAGCAAACAAACTCGTCTTTCTAATTAGCAATTAGCCAACCACTCAAGCCTCAAGGA